GTCAGTAAATGTATCCCCTAGTAACACAGTGTAGAAGCAAATGAAATTAAGTTTCAAATAGTAAGACGAGAAAAGACAGAACTCATGATCGACACATTACGGTTTACCTAAAAACACACCGAGTTAATCAAGGCTAGCGAACAAAGGGGAATGATGTGGAAAACTTGTGTCTATTGTAATAGTACCTGAAGCACAATCTACACCAAATACAGCAACTATTTGTCCTGCATGAGCTTGTTGAATGTCCTGTACATGGGGAAAAGTGATAAATGATAAACAAGGACCAGAAAATGAAAAGCATCTCAGAAAGACAATACTTTTTGATAAAGAGATCACATGTATAAAAAAAAACATGTCATTTCAGCAGAACAGAAACAGATCCAAGTTCATTTCCCCAGGAGAATCCCAAAATCTCATTTCAGAATCACAATATACAGCTACATCAGGTCCTATGACTAACCTCCATTTCGTTTGAATGCATCCGAACCAATCGAGGGACCTACAAGAAAGTCAAATAAGGGGTCAGGTTCTCAGTTATCCATGAACAGCCCAAATGCTTCAATTTCACTAATCTCAGGATGAAATCATCTCATAAAACAGGGCTGTATTTTCAGAAGACTAAAATGGGTGCAACCTTCACAACCTTGTTTACAATATTAGATGCATTTTGTCATATTGACAGTACCTTGAAAAACTAAATTGTATAATATGTTATTCTGACAACAAGCTTACCTTAACTTTTTTGCCGGTGTTCACATTAATTATAAAATCGCCCTTCTTTATGATACCTTCATATATTCTGCAACAGAGAAAAAAATAAAAAGAAGAGTTAGTGAAGAGATCTGTACACTGAAACTGGATATAAGAAATTCATATGTAAATGTCCCTTTACGCAGAAAGTAGCAAATCACTTAATTGAACTAAATTCAAAATACCTCAAATATGTCAACTGCCCGAATCGCCCTTCTTCCAACTTGAAAGCTAAGGCAACAAGCGGACCAGCTGGACTTCCGGTCAATGTAACCTGCACCAGTTAAATAATATGGTATAGTTCGTTCATCAGTAATCTGGCGATTTACATACAAAAAAAAAAAAAAAAAAAAAAA